GGGAGTTGAAAAGAAATTACTGTCACTTAGGCAAGTTGACCAAATTGCGATTTAAAGGCCCATTGGACTGCAAATTAAAAATAACAATAAAATGTTCATTAAAATATCGTTACTGCTTTTAGTTTCAAAACTATAGCAAAACTTCATCTACTCTTGCACAAAATATTGTATTTTATTTAAAAGAGAAAGGAGTTTACACTTTTTAAATTAATTCGAGTGCAAACAGATATTAAATTAGTCCACCTAATACAACTTGCTCAACTAAAAATTGCAGATTTATTACTGGACAAGTCGAACAGCTGGCCTGATTTGCCATATCCCTCATCAACCAATATTAATAACATGTCAAGCAGATATATTTGCGATACCAGGTACATTTTATTGAAACGAATCTAATTTAATTATCATTTTGCAATTTCAAACTGCTTGGCGTGATTTATGGGCAGTATTACACACACGCATTAAATTTATCCCTTAGTTGAAATCTAAATAATATACTACAGTGATTTATGAGACATAGAACAGTTATCCACTGGACGAGTAGGTAGACTGAAATAGAGTAACTCTACCTTGTCTTATAACACCTCTCATTAAGGACAAATTTGTGGATGATTTTCTCCAGTTTTTAATATGAAATAACCCAGTATTTCCTCTGGTTTTTTATTTCACATTAACAAACATGATAGAAGTGAAGATGTAAATTCCTTTTTTATTTTCATAAAGAAGTCGTATAACATTTATTAGACATATTACGATCGATAATGTAACCATTACCATTAGGTTCGTGTTCTTTGTGCCTGTTGATGTCTCCACTTCAAAATGGGAATATTTTACTGTTAAGTTAGTTGAAATATTGAAATTACTTCATTAACTGTACTGTAACAACTAAATGTATATTAAGGATGGCATTTACTTTAGATTTTCAGTAATTTATCCTGGGTGTTAGGCAGAATAAGTCCTCAAAGTATAGAAATATAATGAAATCAATTTTAATACTCCTGTGTTTTAAATTTCTCTAGAATAAAGTAAATTTTTCAAATATTTTTTACAGAAATATAAAGTATTAGGTACCTAAAATACTTAAAATAGAGTTAGTGGAAATTTTTAGATCTAAAAAAGTTTTACCTGCTAGATAATTTTATATTCTAAGTTTAGACGAAAATATTACATTTTCAGTAAAATAATACTTTTCCTGTCTCATAAAACAAACATTTTGTTATAACAAATATTCATAACAAGTTACAATTTCTATGATTTTCAAATTTTACATGACAATTTTTTTTAACTAAATACAATTGCGTTTATTTCAAGATTAATCACTTTCTTACTATCGCTGCTTATCTTGCCCATGTTTCGATAAAAATCAGGGGTATATCGGATAATGTTGCTGTAAGTTGAGTGACACTAGCGATGATAAAATGTCGTAGTAATAAAACTGGATTATTTAATCATACTTCTAGAACTAGTTTAGGACCACACATTATTTTTATTCAAGGGCGAGAAAAAAAACTGCTATAAAAACTTGATGGGCTCTCTCAGTTTCAGTGCAGTTCGAAGCCAGATCAGCTCCAAATTAAATCAACATGAAAACCATGGTAAGAATATGAAACAGTTTTCTAGATCTTCAACAAAAAGTTTAATATTTTTAATAAAATATTGATTTATTTGTATTTGTGTAATAATTTTGATTTGTTTGTTTTGAGATTTTTTTTTTAATTAATTTTTTCATTATATCTTATTTAAGAGAGATTAGTGTTTAATTGCCATGCAATTCGATGGTGCTAAAATCTCGTTTTTTTTCAGATTGTAGCCCTTTTCATCGCCCTTTCAGTGGCCGCTGCCCACGCAGGTGTCATCGGTGGTGCCGCCATCGCCACCCCACTTGCCGCCTCCGTGGTAGCCTCCCCCTTGTCTGCCCCGTTGGTAGCTGCCCCTCTCTCTGCTGGAATCGTCGCTCCTGCTCCTTTAGCCGTCACCCGATCAGTCATTGCCACCCCAACTGCCTCCGTGGTCTCTGCTCCAGCTCTTTCTCCATTGGCAGTCCGTACCATATGGTAAATTGTAAATGTAAAATGTCTGAATAGAAGAATATAACGTATATAAAAAATTTAAACCTGTTGTTCTTTAAGAAAAAAGTTAAAGCCGATTTCAAATGTTCAACTAATTTATTAACTCGTATTCTTCTTGAAGTGTACTTTAGACGAATTTTAATCAGAATAATAGTACATAAAAATCAGATGTAAAAAAAGTCACAATTAATACCATCGTCATCAAGTAATATAAATGGTCCAAACTTTTCCCTTTTAACCGTTTTTTCTGTCTCAGATGGCTTCTTTCTTCACTTCTTCTAATCATTATAGATTTTTACTTAGATACAATTTTTTTTACTTTTTAAACAATCTCCAAAAGACCAGATGTATTTGTTCCCATTCAAGTGTTTTATTTGAGAATTGTTTTAAACATTCTGAAGGGGTCGTTAAAAATGATGCAAATTTTAGCAAACTTTTGACAGCTCACATGTCGCGACTGTCAAAATTCTAAGCAAAATGTCAAAAAAAGTATGTGTCTGTGCCGCCAAAGGAAAGGACAAGAACTTAGTTATCACCGTAATTTCGTGTCAAAATAAAAGCGAGCACCTGGGAAAACCACGATATCAAGCAACATTAAAAGTAGACGATGTGAGTAAACCAGACAATAAAGCTGCAAAGCGTATACCCCACCTTTTTGCTGATGATGAAAGTGCCCAAGAGACCAAAAGTAACCAACGTATGAATAAAGCAGTTAAATCTCATGAGAAAACTGAGCCAACTAAGAAACCAAACATTTTCTCAGTCGAGGATTTACCAGAGATCAAAGACAAACAGTAAATTAATGTAAATGAGTTTAATAAAGCAACAGAACGAGGTGCAGACGAAGAAATTACAAATTAAAAACCCTGACACTTGAAATAAGTATGAAAGTTTATATGAAGAAGCAAGTTAATTTAGTGTCTGTAATGTTATAGTTGCGACTACTGAAATATTTTCAAGAAATATACAATTGAAATTTAAGACTTTCAATATTTTTTAAACATTTACAAATATTGTTATAGATAGAACAATAAAAAATCTCTGTAATTTCTTTTATGACTCGAATAGTATTGGAGTTACGGTTTATCTGTTAATCTGCTTTACATATTGTGTTACCTACAAAGTTTGGTTCGTAGAAATTTTCATAATAAAAAACTTAATTCAAAATATAGTTTACAATATTAGTTTACATTAAAAAGGATATGCTAAATTTGTAATGTGCATGTAACCAATTTAACTCCACTTGCAAAATTCGTTTGAAAAACTCTGAATACGTGGGCTCCGTGTAGCTCGCTCCTACATCTGTAAAGTGTTCACAGCGGTGGTCATGGTTACCGTTGCGCAGCAGTAAAAGACGGATTGAGAGTAGCGCACATTTCCAATGCAATTTGGGTTCTGTTTAGTCCGGTCGTAACCAAATAGTATACTATTCACGCCTTTTCTTATTAAACGTAATATGTTCAGGTGTTTTGTAAAATTTGGTTACTTACGTACTGCTTCTTGTGTGTTCTTTAAAAGATTGTAAAAGTTTAAATTGATTATAAAGACAGACTAACAGTAATAATATCAACTGAAAAATAATGGTGCATGAAATACTAAACTTTAATGTAAAAGTAATTGAAAAGTATATTTCGGACAAAAGCAGCAAAAGAATGATAGTCACTATAAAAAATAATGTTGAACACAATTTCCCTATATTTCAATAGTACCTAAAACAAAACTGCCCAATTGTAGTTATTTGATTTTATTTTTAATACTGTGAACCTAAATTTTTCCGCTCTCCCTAGCATATAGAAGTCAAGAGAAACATTTTTACGTATACCTATTTAGAATTTTTACATGCAAGTTCTGAAGATTTTACCTGATGGAAATGTTTAGAAATTCTTCAAGGTTCAATTCTATTAGTTTGAAAAACTTTTATGTGAACGAACTTAAAAAAACATAAATTTTTGGGATAATAATATTATTTATTAGGTATTTATAACTAAAAACTAAATATCAAGAAAATGTGAAAGAGTACTAAGTATTTTTCTTCCAAATTGATTGGAAAGGTTTTATTATCTAAAAATTAATCTGCTACATGCTGTACACACAAAATATATTTATCAGAAATTTATATTTACATTTTCACTTATTTATTATCAGTAACTTCTCTTTACCAAATTGTGCCAACTGCTAACGGAGAAATAGCCGGAGCAGAGACCACGGAGCCCGTTGGGGTAGCAATGACTGATCGAGCGACGGCTAAAGGTGCTGGGGCGACGATGCCGGCAGAAAGAGGGGCAGCTAGCACAGAGGCGGACCAGGGGGCGGCAAGAGGGGCTGCGAGTGGAGTGGCGATAGCAGCACCACCGATGACACCCGCGTGGACGGTGGCCACAGCAAGGACGATGAAGAGGGCGAGGATCTGAAATGAACGAAATTTTACAGAAACAGTCTTTTATGTACATACTTTTTTGTGCTTTTTTTAGCCATATACAACAATCATATTCCTACAACAATCATTCTTCCCGTAAATAAAGTGACATTTAAAATCACCGCCAACAAAAAAATATACATATATGGGAGAAAAACAAAATACTGATGCCAGTATTCTTACGACATCTAGCTCCCCCAAAAACCTTATTATGAATTTTATGGAAAAATTTTAAAAATGACGCTGTCTTACAAAAATTAAATATTTTTACTATTTCGTAGTGATTTTTAACTGGATGTGTACAGGATAGTAAGTAACATAGAAATTAACTACATACCATGGTGTTCATGTTGATTTGGTTTGGTTTGTTCTGTAGACGATGCAACTGATAAAGCTGAATAAGTCTATCGAACTTTTATAGCATCCATACCTAATATACGATGACCAACGCGCCCATAGAAAAAAATGGTAATCCTAAAACTAGTTAATGATTAAATATTAAGATTTCTTGCAATGACATTAGTTTTAAGTAGCTAGAGCACACCTAAAATATATGGGCCGTAAATTTTACACCTACATGCTATTTTAATCTGTTGAAATTTTGTAGGAACTGAAATCATGCAAGAAAAATTTTCGTGACCTCATGAGGAAGTATAATATTTATTGTCTGTTGAATAAATTTGGTAATAGGAGTTTTATTTTGACTTAAGAAGAGGCTGTATAGTAAGAATTAAAAAAATATATACAAAAATATATTAAATTTTTCCGTATTAGAATTTACATCACTCTAATTCTGAGAAACTGCTTTTTGAAATTGTGAAAATACATCGAAGTCCTAATACCACCCCCGTCCCCCAAAGGGTGCTCATAGACAGGGTCAATAACATTTAAGAGCTACAAAAATAAGGATTTACTATCCTACCATTAATCATATTCTATATTCTAACACGATATTTCTGTGTAATTATTTTCATGCGTGTTCGTGTTGTTTATTATTATTTACTACATTTATAATTTAATTTAAACAAACAGGCGTCCTTGACTAGTATATAATACAGTTCCTTGTTAAAAAAGTGGCACCAGAATGCACCAGATTGATATCTACGACAACTAGGTCAATGAATAACTTAATAGTGTCGTCTGTTGCATGATTTTTCATGCCATATACGATTATGTGCAGGATGTTTGTCATTCCCGTAAACGTTACACGTATAAAGTCACTAAAAAAAAATAAGTTGAAACTCACACATCTGAGGCAAATAAGAATTATAATATTTTAAGTAGTTCGCTAGATGTAGTTTATTTTAATTGGCAACAAATGTTTATTTAATTTAACTGATTGAGATTTATGGAAAGTTAAACAGAATGTTGCTGTAAATTTAAGCGTTAAATATCGCACTTGTGTCCGGAGCTTAAGGCCATCTGTCATCTGATCAACCACGTGGTCGAAAACCCGCAGTTCGGCAACCAGGAATACAGCGAATAAAAAATCGAAATGATTTGACAAGTTCACATGACGCATGCCCGTTAGTGTCGGCATCACAATATGGCAGTGTTTTTGAAAATAATCTATGAAATATCAGCTGTTTCATTGTGATTGTTGACATACTTTAGTATTTTAATGGGACTCGTAGCCATGTGCCATTTACCATGGGAGCAATTGCATCTGTGCTGCAATGGCATTGCACCTTTTGCAGCTTGATCAATCCCACAGAGCAATTAAAATGTATTAGATGTGGGACAAAAAGGCTCTCTAACAAAGACACATCCTCGTTTTCTGATACCTGTAATTTCGGAGCCAGCAGAAATTGCACGGTAATACGCCGACTTAAGTCATCAGAAACGAAAACTCGCCTGCACTTGACCAGGTAAGCTAGGAGACATAATTTGTTTATATTGTAACTTCATTGTTAAAAAGATCAATAAGTGAGGTCAGTTTTTATTTTCAGTGATTTGGATAAAAGAAACTGTTCTGCTTTGGTTAAAAATTTAGTCATCAACAACTTATTACTTTTAAAAGAAAATTCAGTTGACCTACATTCCAATTTAAAAAGATCATCGAGTCTGCCTTGTCTTACAGAGCCTCTCAGTATCTGCAACAATTGTCAGGTCTCTTTTAAAACAACAACAGACAGATGTATACTCTGCGACTCTAAACTAGATATGATGAACATCGCTGAATCTCCTTGTAAGATCTGTTCACTTACTCCTGTAGAGCATTACCGCAGCTATGATATATTAAATTGTGATAGACCTCCAATATGTAAATGTCAAAGGAATAAATCTTTATCGCTTATTAAAAGTTTAAGTTGTTCTGTGGCCCAAAAAAGCAGCTGTGATTCAACAATAGACGGCCAGCAACCTAACAACATTAGGACTACGGCCAGTGGTATAAACAATGACTCTTATCCTAGCAGTAACTATATGTGGACAGTTAAGAGTGCAATGCCAAACGCCACTTGGACTTGTAAGCGGTGTACATTGTTAAATAGTGCTAGTTTTACCGTATGTGAAGCATGTGAATCACCATATTCGCCTGATCTAAATAGCAATATAAGTCCCAGTGTCTTCATCAAGGTAATATAGCCGTTCATCAAGATTAATTACTAAAATGTATAAAATTTGCTTTTCTTTAATGTGTGCCTCTTTTATTTGCCTATATTGAAAAAAAAACAAAAATCTATTGAACAAGATTTTGTAGCAAAGACAAAATATCGGACAATTAATAAATGCTTTTTTTTGGATCGTTTTTTCAATAAATTTTTATGACAAAAACTACAGATAGAAAGATAATTTATTTCTTCTTGTGTTTACTGTTTACCTAAATAGATTTGATTCGTTCAAGTGGTGTTTTAATGTAATTTGATTAAGTACAAGATGCACATTACATACCACTTTATAAAACATTTATTTTATAATGAAAAGATACACCTCATAAATTGTATGCATAAATAGCCTGTATTTAATCCACTTATGTTTTAAATTTCCCTCGAGAATTAGTATTATTAACATACCCACTTATATCCATGCAGAGTGATAAAAATGATTAAGTGCTTGTAAAAAAGCTAATTAATTAGTCGTGACAAACTGAATTTGCCGATATTCTATGACTAGTAGAATTAATATAATTTTATTTGAACTGAATAATTGTACTGACCTTCACACCTCTGACATTAACAGTATTTTTTAACATTATAAAAGTAAACACATACATTTTGCACAATGGATATTAAATATTCATTGTATTTAAATCATTCTAGTAAGCTTTTATCGTACGGTACATTTTTCTAAGCGGTGATCGTATTGTAGGTGGACAATTGGGCAGATAACGAAGCCTTGCGGAATTCTAGTCATAAGCCTATCTACAGGAGATCATTCTCAGAGCTGCCATCATCACAAAACCTTCATATCCCTAACCTCAATCGGAGGAGCCTAGAGAGTAGCTTACAGTCGAATATTCCAAAGTCGAGTACCTCTATGACTGATATTCAGTCCTCACAGCATTCCCAGTTATTTGACAATTTTAACACTAAGGCAGGGAAGAATCTGAATCGGAGCACGAGTGATATTACCAAAGAAACTGGAATCAGTAATACCTTGTATACTTATATAGGAATCTCGGAACCTGAAAAAGAGAAACATTTCTACGAGAACCACACCGTGATAGATGCACAGAAGAGGACCATGGCTTTTGACGCCGAGCAGCATGAACGAATGTGAGTAGCTTTACACTACTGTTAGTTGATATTCTTGGGAACTTGCATTACCTTACAGGGTGTATGTAATTTTTGAACAGAGCGAACAGTTTCAATGAAAAAGTTGCATTTAAACGTCATTGTGTGTTACCAGACTACTATTCATTATTTTTAATTGATCTTTGCGATTTGGAAACTAAATAATTCAAACGGACAATTATCTATCAAATAAAATTTCTTTTCCTTCTGGTGTTCCTCAAGGGTCTCATTTAATTCCCTTATTATTTGAGTTCTTCGTCATCGACACTAATAATTCTTATTTTCTGATGATTTAAAATTATACGTAAAGGTGTCAACTCTAAACGAATGCATCAGTCTATGGTCTGACTTCAATAATGTAAATACCTTATCAAAACCTCGTTTACTAAATTGAAAAAACAACTTTAAAAAGAGTTCTTTAGATTAGAGACTCGAGTATAACACTTGACTTAGTTTTATTCCTCAAATCTAATTTATTATTGCCAAAACTATAAAAATGCGTGATTTTATAAAATGTTGCTATCAGAATTTTAGCGATATATCATCAATGAAAACGTCTGCAGTTAATTTTTGGAATTAGCATAAAATGTTATTATTTAAAAAATATTGTATAACATATTTATTGTTTTTCCTTTTCGCTTCAATCTATGATTAATAAGAAAAAAATAAGAAGTTAGTCTAACACAGCTTTGTGGGTTTATCAAAACATTAAAAGTCACATTGGAATTTATATTTTTATACTCACTACGACTTTAATTACTTTTGTGACACTGATCTCTGATGAATTCCTAAAATTCACTACTGTTTCTAAAGAATACAGTGCATTATTTCATTTCTCACGAAGTAAAATGTATTTCTCTTAGTGACCACTTCCTGTGCTGATGAAACATACGAATTCACGGAATTGCCATGATTCTAATGTGGTTGGTAACATAAAAAAGTGACCAAATGTGCAATGGAAATTCCATAGTGATCTTTTATTTTTTCATTGGATATAACCACGTATTTCTTTTCGTTTCTGTTTTGTTGGCTTCATTCACCACTTTGTAAAGGTATGTTTATTCAGAATGCAAGTGTTGAAACAAAACAACCCGACAAAAACCACCTGGACGGTAAACGAGAGGCGATGGACCTGTCACCAGTGTTCTTTCGCTTACAATGGCTTTAATGCTGAAAAATGTGATATATGTAAAAGTTGGAGATCCCCACCGTCGTTGAATCAACCGTGCACTGTAACCGTGACGGAAGATAGAAGCATTAGCGGCCCCTCGCCTGCGTAAGTCCATTTTCTTTTGTTTTTAAAGTTATTTGATGATAAAATTTCTGACGAAACCTGTCAAAATTTATCTTTCATTAATACTTATTTACTTAATTTAAGTTTTTATAAATTGTTCTCTGAAAAACACTTCACTCAAATTAGGGGAAGTGATTATCTATTACTGGTTTTCTTTTATATAGAAAGTGTGCATCAATTTTGATTATTTCTAATTTCTATTTAGCTAGAACAACTAATTTTGTGATTATCTCTTGTGCCTGCTTATCATGCATACTTTTTGAAGATAAAATAGTTTCAAATAATTCTAAATGATGTTTATATTTAATACAGAGTGGATTACTATTAATCTGACTTGGCAGGTGAATATTAATGTGAGTAGAGCTATTGCAAGTCGATTTGCAATATTAAATATAATGCTGCAAGTAAACTGTTTAAACAAGAAAAAACGAAAACAGTAAAAGTATATGATAAAAATGTGGTAAAAACAGTTGTGTTTAATATCGAAAAAATTATATCGGTTTATAAAATCTTAAAATTTAATTTTTAACATAGTTTATTCAACAAAATTTTACAGAACGCTGTATTAGTCAGTTATATAATTTAATTTTTTAAAACATTTATCTCAAAAGAATCTTCATTACAGTTTTTATAGCGTTTAATAAAACATGAAATACACGAAGGTTATCATCAGATAAGACATATCTTGTCACATTATTTTATTTTCATAAAATGAAGGTAATTTTTTTGTATTATCACTTTCCCAGTCCTAGAAGCTATTTTGTGTAAAATGACGTTTTACGTGTAAGCTTACACTTGTACTTTCAAATGGAATACGAAATTCATGTAAAAAATGTTTCAGATCGATAAACTGGAACAACACAGTTGACATACAAGTCCCCATCGCAACTTTAGATCAGGATCTCGATGACGATTTCCAACTTTTACCAGGTAATCGCTGAAGTTTTCATAATATCCAATTTTTTTTTTGGTACGCTTTCTAAAAGTATTAACTTTACTTCCATTCAAATGTAGGTTAAATAAAAAGGTTTCTTTTTTTTAATAAAATACAGTACTTTCAAAAAGTTTGTGACAATTTTTACAAGACCTACTGAAATCGCAGAAATTGCCATCATTTCCTAAACGCCCTGTATAGTTTTTAAAAGCCGAACATCCTGTAGCTTTAAGCACTTTGTTCGTCGAGAAATAATCTCCTGAATTTGTGACATAGGCTTAGAAGACCTAGATATTATTTTTCATTTAATTTTCTGTTATAATTCGTATTTTTTTCTCATATATCGGTAAGTAATGCCTTTACAGGTCAGGACAGTCCGACGGCTGCCGAGGACCAGAAATGGACCTGCAAGAAATGCACCTTAGTGAACAGCGGCCGATCTCTGGTCTGCGAGGCATGTTACGGTTCGAAACTGCGCTCCGTCACGATCAACAACGATATGACACTGAAGAAAGGGGAATTTTGGACTTGTTCCAAGTGCACCTTAAAGAACGTGTTAACCGCCACGTCTTGCAAGGTGTGCAAGACGGAAAAAGTAAGGTTGGAAATCGGGATGCCGTCTAGGAGCCCTTCGCCAAGACACGGCGGGGTGAAGAAGCACAGCAAGAGCTGCGCCAGTACCAAAGTTAGTAGTGACCAAAGAATAACGGCGATTACGAAGATGAGTAAGGGTAGAGTTAATCTGCAGACGGATATGGATCAATGTAAGTACGAAATTGTAGTATTTTGGTATTTCGAATTAAGAATATGTAATATCTTCTGCAGTAGCGGACATTCAAAAATTTGGATAGGTCAGTTTAGACGGAAGAACTTTTTATGATTTTTTTTGGCTATTTTACAAATTTGATGATTCAGCTGGATATTTTTTGGAAAAATTTTTATTGTTGCCTTGAATTTTTTTCCTTTTAGGAACTCTAGAATTATTTCTGAGTAATTTTGATAACCATATTATCGTTTGTAACTCGAGAAATGTCGTTTACGAAATGCTTTTTATTACACTTTTATAGAGCAAACATTGTAAATAAATCATCTCGTATTAAAGTGTATTTAGTTAATACTTCTAATCCGATATATCTAAATTAAATAAATCTCTTTATGTCAAATTATGGAACAGTAAATATTAACGATGTGACATTGGAGGAGACAAATATCTTTCTGAAATAATCACTTGGATTAAATTTTTATTGGATTTTTTATTTCCATTTTTGTTAAAAATGTAAATTTTCACGATGTGAGAAATTTTGAAATTGTTTCAATTTATCTTCATTAAAATCAATTAGTGAATATGGAAAATGTGTTCTCGAGAGTAAATGATTTTTTCTTAATGGAGATAACAAAATTGTTACTCAAATATTCAGTCGCTAAGAAAATTGCTTGATATAGAGGGTGTTTGGAATTGCCTAAGCCAATTTTTACCTTTTATTGTGCGAAAGATAGTATAAGCTGTACAGTCCTTAATTAGGTTTATCTGATTTGGAATTGTCAAACAAATATTCATAAAAAAATTAATATAAGCTTATTAATATGAAGAAAATCCTCAAAAAAAATTATGACTAGTTAAATAATTTTTCACGATTTAGTACGAACTCTTATGAGATTGCAGGTTTTTTTGGTGTTTCCACTTAGAATGCGCAACAATTGACGAACAGTTTCTACATCAACTTATATAAATAGAAAACCTAAGGAACCATACGACAAGTTATAGAAATCGATTAGGTACTCGTAAGATACATAATTTATAATAATTCTCCCTCAAACTGCTGTTGTTGACTGACTTAACCTCCAAATGTGTGATAGCGGCAACGCTGCGGTCTCAACGTAGCGTATTATTTGAAACTCACAGGTGTAACATATCGAACGCGAGCGAATCTACAGAAACTCTCATTACACTTTAGACGTACCCCCGTACCCGATAAACTTCCTTAAGTTCTTGAAAGAATTTCGGAAATTTTTCTTCGATTCTGTTATAAGCCTCTTTACCAACCCTCTCCCAGGAATTTTAACCAGTGGCAGTTGGTGAAAATTAAATTGGTCATATTTTGATAATAAAGCATAGGACTCACACCATTTTTATGGGATGATTTCTAGTTCCACAAATTCATCACAGGAAATTTCATACAAAATTTGCAAAATTAAAAATGAAATTGGGGTTGCCAACCCCGGGATCTCGAAAAGAGTTGCACATATATTTGAAAAATACTTTTTTAGTGTTTTCACTTCATAAAAGCATGTATTTTGTTCTACTTTGTAAATAATGAACAAGATAAATGCATATTTAACTTTGGAAGTCGAACGTTCTGCATATATCGATATAATTTTGTTTATATAAGAATTTGTCCAAATTCCAGCCACCCCTGTCGCCCCGGGGCCCTACCAGCCCTGGCAGTGCATGATATGCACGTTCGTCAACACAAAATCGCACGTGTTCTGTGATATGTGTCAAAGAATGCGAGACGACGTCAATTCTAGATTCCCCAAAGACCCGCCCAGACTAACTCAGGAAGAACTAAGCAACAAACACTGGAATTACATCGTCAGGTACTGCAAGCTGAAGAAGCAGAGTTACGTAGACGACGATTTCCCCCCGATGCCAACTAGTTTGTACTACAACCCCTCGGAAGTGAAGGACGCTCACACGATCAAGTGGAAGAGGCTGAGGGACATAGTCGTGGAAGAGGACAAGGAGTTAGCGTGGGCAGTCTTTAGGAGGCCGCAACCTTCCGATATATCCCAAGGTCAGTGAAAACGATGGCATTGATTTTCTGTGTAATTTAACTGATAACTCACTTTCTGGAAATGCATTGTTTGATTTTTCCAGATATAGATAGGTGGGAATTCTCAAAAGTTTGATAATATATTTATTCTGTTTTTTATCCCAATTTTATACTAATTTTATATGAAAAGGATGATAGGCGTGCAAAAAACTGACAACCAACATTAATTCACGACAGAATCGAGACTACTAAATTGTTATAAAATTACCATAAGTTTAAAAAATATTGGACCTTCTTTATGAACATGACTTTCAAATAAATGGAGCAGCATTTAAAGAGAAGGCTCGATATCTAAAAATCTGCAACTAAAAGACGTTTGAACTACTCAGATCGGATTTTTAACAGCCCACTGAAATTATTTTGTTATTATCACTGGTCTCACATTTTTTATATAAATTTAAATGTAAATTAATAATTTAATAGGCCTTTTAAAGATAAAAAAAGTTATTAGGGTATCGTATCGTTTCACTGTGAAATATATAAAATTTAGGAGTTCTGGGAAATTGCTGGCTTCTGAGTGCCTTAGCCGTGCTAGCCGAGAGAGAAGATCTAGTTAGAGCCGTTCTCATAACGAGAGACTTCTGCCACCAAGGCGTATATCAAGTAAGGTTGTGCAAGGACGGCCACTGGACCACAGTCCTGGTCGACGATTACTTTCCATGTGATAAAAGAGGCCACCTGTTCTACTCACAAGTAAGATGTTGTTTATTTGCTTAAAGGAATATTGCCATCTCTTTTTCCTTTTTGTAGGCGAAACGCAGACAGCTCTGGGTCCCCCTGATTGAAAAGGCAGTGGCCAAGATCCATGGATGTTACGAGGCTCTAGTGTCGGGCCGAGCGATAGAAGGCTTGGCTACGTTAACCGGGGCGCCCTGCGAGAGTATACCGTTACAGGCCTCATCTATGCCGGCCCCGGCAGAAGAGGAACTGGACATTGACCTCATCTGGGCTCAGTGAGTAAATTTAACTTCTGACAGTTTTAGGTAATCTACGGCCCGGAGAGCTTTGCCTAATTGTTTAATTTATCAAAAAGAAACGTTAGTTTATTTTTCAAAATTTTACTTAACACAATTTTTGCTAACAAATGTCTTTTAAAGTGGTGTCTTATTAACTTCTACGTGACTTGAAGGTTATTGTCATCTCGACAAGCTCTGTTTTTAATGGGAGCGTCATGCGGCGGGGGAAACATGAAAGTAGACGAAGTAGAATACCAAAACAAAGGCCTAAGACCCCGGCATGCCTACTCCCTTTTGGACGTAAGAGACATCGAGGGTTACAGATTATTGAAACTCCGAAATCCTTGGGGTAATTCTGTAGAAACCGATAAGTTTATTTTTTTCTACATCCTTTGCCATTTTAAGGACATTTCGTGTGGAAAGGGGATTGGTCGGACGAGTCTACTCTGTGGAAGAGACACCTTAGGCAGGAACTGCTGCCGGACGGACCCCAGGACGGTACTTTTTGGATATCTTTCGCGGACGTATTGAAATATTTCGATTGCATAGATATCTGTAAAGCGAGGAGTGGTTGGAACGAAGTCAGGTTAACGGGCACGCTGCCGCCACTTGCTAGTCAGGAACATTTGTCTTGCATTTTGCTCACTATTCTAGAACCAACCGAGGTTGATTTTACGCTCTTTCAGGTAAAACAACAGTTTAAACTTTAGTTTGGCATTTTGATGTTTTTTTTTCTAGGAGGGTCAACGAAAGTCTGAAAAATCCCAGCGGTCTCAGCTAGACTTGTGCGTGGTGCTTTTTAAGGCTAGAGTAGGATCGACGATAGGTAGTTTAGTCGAACATAGCAAGAGGCAAGTAAGGGGCTTCGTCGGGTGCAATAAGATGCTGGAAGCGGGCGAATACGTGGTGGTTCCTCTGGCGTTTAACCACTGGCATACGGGTCTCGACGATGTTACGGCATATCCAAGGTAAATTATTCATTTCTTTATTATCGTTGATAAAATATAATATACAGAGTGAAATAGAAAATTATTCTATTTAAAACGACGATGCAATAGTTTTTATTACTCGCCTATTCCAGGTATGTCCTAGCGATTCACAGTTCGAAAAAACTCCTAGCGGAGAACATCCAACCTCCAAATCACATCCTGGCCGACGCTATAATATCCCTCACCTTGGCCCGCGGCCAGCGTCATGAAGGTCGGGAAGGGATGACAGCCTACTATCTCACCAAAGGCTGGGCGGGTCTGGTAGTGATGGTGGAAAACCGCCACGAAAATAAGTGGATCCACGTAAAATGCGACTGTCAGGAAAGTTACAACGTCGTGTCCACCAGGGGCACTTTAAAAACGGTGGATTCCGTTCCGCCGCTGACCCGTCAGGTCATAATAGTTTTGACCCAGCTGGAGGGCAGCGGGGGGTTCTCTATCGCGCACCGTTTGACGCATCGACTTGCTAATTCACAGGGTTTGCACGACTGGGGCGAGCCGGGCGCTTGCCACGATCCGGAGCTGGATTCTGAAACGCTCGGGTTGCATTCACCGCGTTTGTTTTAATTGGATATTCCTTTTATTGTAGATATTGTTTTTGCTCTCTATTTACGTACAACAAACCGAGAATGTGATTATTGATTTCCGATTGGCTTGAGTGCGGTTCAAACGGTTTTAACGGCTGAAAATTATTCTCCTTCGACACGTTTTGAGTGATTGTTCACGATTTATGTACGTTTTAGAAGTTCTTGACTCAATTCAATTTGTGTGAATCGATAACTTTCTATCTTTGAATTTCCGGTATTAACTATTACGGTGTGTCAGCATTTCGCTAGATTTGATATTTAAATTTTTGAAAAATCAGTTTGTTGTTCGTAAACCAAACAAAGTCTGAGTTTCATGTTCCGTGTTGTCGTTAATTTAATATATCAGCGAATATCTGTTCTTGTTTCTCGTTTTCGTTTGGAAAAATTTTTATTTAACCATAAGAAACTCGTAATATTATCACTATATAAAGTTGTTAATCACTGATATTTGATGTGTTCATATTGTTTTTAGTATAAACCGGTTAGACACAAAAATCACATTCGGAATTTTTTTTCTTCGTATTTTTTAGCATCTCCCAGTCTTGTGTACTCGATAAATCAAAGTTGTGATTGAACTGCCAATATTTTCTATCAAATACTTCCAAGGTGTCGCACTAACTGGTCTAAAAATTTTTAAATCGGTGATATTTTATATTATACAAATATTGAAATTTTCATTTATGAAATTTAAAAAATATATTTTTTTTTGCAATAATAAAATACTCCTATTATTTGTTTTTATTTGGTTTTATAAGAGGTAAGTTTTTAATTTTATTTTAGAATTTATGAACGTAATGTCACGTTTACTAACATCCTGGAAAATAATTTTTCCTTTTCATACTTTGTATATAGCATTTATAATTTTTTATTTTAGTTAATTGTGGGAGATGTTATTAAAAAATTAGCTAACGTTTATTTCTCCGTACTCGATTTTAACTTTCAATTTTGAATTTTGAGGTAAACTGTGATTTTTGTGCGATTGAATTTTTTATTCCCGTTACTTAATTGTTAATAAATAAGTTCTGTTTTTCCTAGCAATTTGATGTTTTTATAGACAGTTTTATTACAAAATGCTTTTTTAGATTGTACTGCATACAGTTTCGTGTGAAATCATACTGTTGTTAATAAATAAAGTAAGCTTAAAATACCGTGTTGTATTATTTTTACGATTTATCTTATCTATTTTTTTTTTATTGTAATACCAAGCCACTAACTATTTTTCATTAGATCAATAGATTAAATTATAAGCTCAAATACCACAAGAAAATAATATACAAATATTTAGATGAATATCTAATCATTAATTTCTTTAAAAGAAAAACGTAAAAATAGGGAAAATACCTTACAGAGAATTATTTATTCATTCATTTTTATACCAAAATGTATTTATGTATCTACAAAATAGAAGTCAGGTAAATCCATAGATTCCTTTTATCTAATCTGTAATGTAAGTAAACCCATACACATATTTATATTTAAATATGTGTAAACACTGTAAACTACTAGCACTACGCCATGGATATCTGTCACAGAATAGTCAAAAATCAAAATACCTAAAAGTCGCAATATTAACAATATCGGCATCTTTGATCTCTATTGGAGGATCGACGCTACCGTTTTTGAAATAGAACTTAAATACAATTTTTTATTAAAACTTATTATATCATCATAGTTTCGTTAAAAAACATGCTAGTAGTTCCATACCATGCTAGAATCACTATTATTTGTAATTCGTAATTTATAGCAAGTAGCAAATGTAAGCTGGCTAAATACTAAATACCACATGATGATACAAAACATATAATAAATACCCCCCGGGTGAAGCCCAAGAAAAAAGAAGAAGAAGAAGATGTAGCGAAGGTAATGCATCCGAGAAAGATAGAAAGTGTCATAAAGTGGTGATGTGCGTAGATAAATAAGGCGAGGGCAATACGAAATTCGAAATATAATAAGAAAATGAATTACCTACAGAAAAGCAGGGGATTCAGGGATCCTGGATTCAGGTATGTTGTAGGATACTCTGGAATTAGTCGATATGTTTTTTGGATGCCGGATTGTGAAGTGTGACTGTTGATTTACATATTTATCGGTACTTTTCTGCATAAACACACGTGCAGAATTTATTGGAACCAGTCTGAAAATTCGTACCCAACAACCAGTATAATTTCACTGTCAATACCTAATTTTTGTTTCTTTTGAATGATGATGTTTTTAGTTTATTGTAATCCCGTCCCTGTGTATACCATGCATTTCATGAAATACATTTATTATTTACGTAGGTACTTTTAAAATAATGATGGTACCTACCTATTCACATGGGCATTCACAATATTTCAGGGTGGCGCAGGTAAATATAAACTATAAAAAATGGTAAAATATTCTGAATTAACGTTACTGTTACTAACAAGTGGAAACAGTTACCATGTAAGTACGCATCCCAAGCCAAGTAAATTACAGATTTACCTTCTAAAAGTAAACAAATCTTTCTTGTATTGACAAATCCGCGCGCATAAAAAAAATACTAATTTTTAACGAAACAGGAAACCGAAAACACTAAATCAACAAAGGTCCACTTGCGCCTCGAGAAGCGGACCACCAACGCTCTTTCGAACCAGGGGACTCTTGTCGCGAGCCGTTGGCTTGATGAATTAGTTCCAATTTCCAATCCGTTCAGTCGCGAGCGAGACGGTGATTCGCAAACACCGTGCGCGTAGATCTTCTGCACGTTCTTCATAGGAAAAGTGTTGAGTTTTTTTTTTTAAATCACTTTTCAGTGTGAAAAAGATTGTTCGTTTATGGTGCAATTATGTTACGGAGATATAACAGCTTTATGTAAATGTATGTCTTTAATATTAACTTAACTTATCACTTTGACTAGGTATTTGTTTATATTTCGTAAAAAGTGGGAAGTCTTCTAATTTGCATAGTTGTAAGATTGCGTTAGACTAAGTAAAGAATATTACCTACTTTAGTAGCCACCTAGCCAGTTAGCCAGGCTTCGAGTTTCTCTGATTTAGACGACCCACTTAGCAAAAAATTACAATTTTTAATATTAGAAATCCGACCGCTTGGCATCTACCTAATTGGGTATCTAAGTATCTACACATTCGATTTAACTCGACTGATACTATTTTATGCATTTAAAGTAGAAGAAAGGATTGTTATTAAAGAAATCTTTTTATAATAATTGAGAGGTTATGTTTATCTTGATGTATTTCACTATGTACCTATTAGGTATCCTACACAAACAATTTGAAAGAAATGTAACAAAAATGTAACTCTTTTTTTAAATAATTGGCTATCATTACGTACCTACCTACGTGATAACGTTAATGAGCCTAATATTAAATTCTAATAGGTAGTTATAAATATTTCGTTATCGTCACGATACCCGCGGGTTTTTGCCGTAATTAAAACAACTTTTTTAGTTGTTTCTGTTGTAGGTAGATAAATTTTACATAAAACAATGAAACTGCAACTATAAGACATCATGAGGATGGATGTTTCTTTATTTTTTAACATTTTCAACATAGACCAACACCAGTCAAGATAACCAACAAATATAGGATGTAAAAAAATGCATGACTGAATTCTAATGAGTCTACGTCATAAAATTACGAAGAAAGTTTATACACCTAAAACACATTTATTTGTTAATCTAAAATTTGGTCAAACATTTTAGTCACATCCTGTATACTAAGAATTTTTCAAACAAAAGAGATTGTTTCAAAATAATAAAGCAATTTTTTAATTACTTAACTTGACTGTTAAGGTTTGAATACAATAGGGAAATTTTGAAATACAAAATTTTTAAGTATAGCAATAATAGTTATTGCTATAGTTAATTGCTACAGGGTGTCATAACTACGTCCCTTTTCCATAGTGTAGTATTAAAAATGTTTTAGAGAATAGCCAAGTTTTGATCTACATTTTTAAAAATATTTCCAGTTTGATTTTTTAAATGGAATACACTGTAGGTAAGTATATGATTGACTTTTCGGATGTCTCTGCAAATTTACCATCATTTTACTGTACTCGTGTCTTCGAAAACATATTAATATACAGGATGTTCCATTTAAAAATCAAACTTTGGCAGATACCCTATTAACATTGAAGTAATTTTTGTTTGGCATTTTTTGCAATGCAGCTATGGAATAACAAACGCTTTGTTGGGTCACCCTGTATGATGTATAGATGGGTAACTAACTAGATATTAGACGTAATAACGAAATGATCTTTATTCCTTTTAATTTAGTCAAATTAACCCGTTTTCTTGGAATGTAGAAAAATTACTTTTGTAGTCTTATTGAATGCATTGTTTTTTTATAATTATTACGACGGCATTCCCAGAGAAATAAAAACCTGTAGGTATCTATCGACTATCAAATGATATAAATAGTAGGTCTTTTCTTCGTCTTGTCAGACAATATTCTCAGAAATATTTCCGATATATTTTACCGATTTTATTTGCCTTTCAATTCATTATCAACAATATAATGTCGAGTATAAAATAAAATGCAAGTAACATCAGAATATCAAACATTGTAAACATTTTTACTACTTTTTAATAATTGCAACGTTTATCCAACTAAAAATACAAATAAGTTTACGTCTGATATGGCACCGCCCACAAATGTGAACGCTTCAGAAGTGTATTTCTAGCCGCTGTCCCAAATCTCGCGCCTGGGTCAGAAACGTAAACTTAAAACTTATTTGTATCGGTTGTTCTTTTAACTGTGGCTTTATCTTTATGATTTTTTATCTTTAAAAATTGGACCTCAGTCATAGGTCAATTTACTTATGGGCAAAACGAGAGAACAAAAAGAAATTGAAAACAGAACAAAAACAAAAATTTTGCAAACGACATAAACACGAAATGAAAATGTTTTTACCGATTTCGCGATCGTTTTGTCAACTCGGTACAGGAATGTCGTTTCAGTTTCTGGTTTTGGGGTGTGTCTTTAAAAAACACTAATAGCTGTTTACAACTGTTCAATATTCATTAAGTTTTGAATTAATTCGTTTTACCTTGCCTGAATGGTAGGATGTCCTTATGGAATTGACTTATAGGTACAATAAAAATCGACGCATGTACGCGATAATTGAGGAAATTGATAGTCTGCAGTACTTACTTTAATTGAAAAAAATGTGACGTCAAAAGTGGTATAGCTGCTATCAGTTGATTCAATTCGAGAGATAAAATTATTGAAAATATTGTTGTTTTTTTATAAATTTGATACTAGGCACTTTAAATCGTTTGTAATATTTTCTGCCTAGCAAAAAAAATACTGGAACAGCTCTTAAAATCACGAGATTGATTTTTCGAACATCATTATTAATTTGTTTTAATTTCCCACCAAAGAAACGCTACTTTTTAATTTTTTTAAAGTAACAATGCAGAGATGATTCTCAGGTACCGATAATCATATCTATTGATAGTATTAAAATCCAATCGGAAAGGTTTTTCCCACATAATTGATATATTTTTTGTATTATGTATTGCCACCTGATCTTAATTGTCATTTTCTCTTAAACAGTCTATTTTTTTAGACTTCAAACTAGTACCTACTCCCTTTTTACGTAAAAATGTTTAGATCAACCAAAATTAGGGCTTACGTTGGTTACAAGTTTTTAACCTATAAATTTTAAATGATTATGAAATGTGATTCAATATACAAAATAATTTTCTTTTGATAAAATGTATGTTGCGGAGTTCTGTCGCATTTTTATATTTATTTTTGTGCAGTCCTAAAGTTTCATTTTTCCCATTTTCGTAAATGCTTCTGGTTAAAGCCCAAAATTTAATATGTATGCTGTTTATTTAGTCCTCTGCAAGAATGTGAAAATAGTATCCGGTTACATCTCACTTCGTTGATGTTAACCAGTGTTTTTTTATATTTACAGTTGTTGAATGGTCAATTTGAATACCAGATTTTATTCAAATTTATACGAAAAAAATACCTGATTATAACATGGGATGTTATCGGTCTTGAATATTTGTCTTGGTTTCCAAATTTTATAAGAGATTTTTACTAAACTGAATTCAATGTTTTGATTAGCCGTAGCATTGAATTTTATCTCGAATTTCGCGTTCAATGTTCTGATTAGATGAACATTTCGAAAATTTTTCGCTTTAAGTGACAAATTGAAGTTATTTATCAAAAAAATTTAAATAATATCTTTTCATTATTTACTTTATTGAAATCTTATTTCAAACCACATACTACGATTTACAGATCAGGATGTGTAGAAGCATCTGAAAAAACAATATTTAAAACTATGTTTGTTTGCAAAAATTTTATGTAAACCTACTCAAATAAAAACGTATTACGTGGGTACTTCCTACATACAAATATAATTTACGTATTTTAGGAGAACTGCAAATATGAGTAAAACATCTACTTACGTATGCAAAATGAATGGAACAGGCAGTGATTCTGTCGTGATAAGCTTTAAGCAGGAACAATAGATGATAATAAACACGTATTTTTTCAAATGCGAATAAAAAATTCGATACGGTGTAAGAAAATAAATGCTTTATCTCACGTCTCTGTTCATTATCTCATAAGTACAATGTGGGTATTAAAAACATACTCTATTCGTTCAATAATGGACAATTTGCATAGATAGATATATGCTCATATAAATAAGATGATTTTGTATCAACAGTTTTTTTACAGGATTTCCCGACGGGTTTTCCTTCAATCTTTAGTTTTATCTTTGACTACATACACTTATAGTCAAGGGTTTTGTACAAAAAAATAATTATAACATTGTAGGTATTTATTAACTAGACGTACCCAAGATTTTGTATGTCGGTTTTGCATTTGCATTTATTTGTAAAAATCATGGGAGTTTTTTTTTATTTTAACTATTAACCCTTAGTTTTGTTTCCCAAAAAGATATGAAATGTTTATTATAAGCTTAATCCTCGATTTAATCTTAATTTTTTAGTGTTATTCAGCATTATCAGCCTCGATTTGATTTAGCCGAGTACAATATGCTCAGTCCTTTGAATTCAATGTAAATAGCCATTAGCCACGCTTCAGTGTTTCTGTTTTTGACTTCAGTGGATAAGGTTTTCAGATCTAGTATACTTGCTGCTTTATTTGCTTAGATGAGAACTCTGATCATTTGCAAAAAATACTGTGTATCTCAGAAAAATGAGAAATAACAGAACTGAACTTTTTTTTTCCGTAAAAGACGAACATGTGTGAGAATCTGCAGTTTAGACAGGCAACATTATTTTCAAGTGAAATTAATGAAGAGGTGTGAGCCATGAACTTTGGTGACATAACACGCCATCTCTCCGTCAAAGTAAAAGTTGTCTGTACTTTTCATGCGGCATATGTTATCCGTAGTATTTTTGCCTCCTGATCACGAATCCGATGTCAGAATTGAACTATCACATCACAGGAATTTCCTAACCTCAAAAAACAGGTCAAAAATAGTTCAAATGTTCATTTATACGGTTAACATTAATGAAATACCTTGTATATACATCGAGTAAAATAAAGACAACTATTTGGATTCCAGTTGAGTAGATGTAGATATACAAAAATAAAGGTATCCCGATGAATTGTATATTTACTCCACCGAAACTAGTTTAGAGTAAGTCTGTATTATTTTCAAACATCTGCCACCGTCATACTCGGTCACATATGAACCAGATATATCCGAACCAATACAGCTCAGCATATCATTCAGATTAGATGGGGAAACACATCACATAAAGAAGTAAACAAAACGCAACCAGGAATCATTTCTATTGATTTCAAAACACGGGGTTTCGTCTCATCCTTTTCTCTGCTAAGTACAATTCATACTTTTGCTTATAT